AATTTATATGCATTAAATAAAAGTTTAAAAAAAAATCAAAGGTATATGGGTGGGTATTTGGGACAACTGTTAAGATACCACTTGTGATGACTGTATCACATATTAAAGTGACTGTGATCAAATCACATCTCTGCTTCAGATCCAGCTTCTTTCTAATATGCTTGGCAGGCAGCAGGTAATGGCCCAAACACTTAGATTCCTGTCATCTATATGGGAGACATGGATTGAGTATGGGGCTCCCACCCTTGACTTAGCACAGGTCTGTCTGTTGCAGACATTTGGGGTGCCAACAACAACCACAAGGAAGAATTCTTCTCCCTCCTATCCCGAGTGTGTGTGTGTGTGTGTGTGTGCATGTCTGCCTTTCAAATATAATCGATTAAGAAGTTTTAAATCAAAGGTACAAAAAACATTCTAAGATGTGTTCATCATCTCTAATCTGTCTTGATTTTTAATCTGAAACCAAAACATCATGCATTAAACAGACTAAATACTTGGACAGTGTTTTGTTGTTGCCATCATTTTATTTTGGACAAGGATCTATACTACTATAAAATTGCTTTTACTGAATCTGGCTTTGTTGTTATGTTCTCTTACTTGCAGAGTCTTATGGGTAAGATATAGTTATGAAGTTGATTTCATGAGCCCCAGGGGAGAACATGTCTTCAACCTTCAGTGCAAGAACAAGCTTTCATTCTCTTATTTTATAGACCATGAAGTCTTAGGGGTACTTGGTCATGGTCATAAATTTAACTCAATTGAAGTTATTAACTTTTAATGTTTACTTTTTTGATCCCCTTCGACATGAATGTGAAATAACATGGTCAAAGACCCAGAATTATAATGTGGAATACTTTTAGTTAATTATACCTATTCTCTATGCTGTCACACAGATAAACTAAAATATGGCTTCTAGCAGTTCCTGAAGAATCAGGTTTCATTGGAGGTCTTAAAGGAGCTAACAGGGAAGAATTGGGGTATTCAAGAACAATTTTAATGCAATGTCACTTTAGTTCATCTTCCATGAGCATAACCTTATTGGCAAGCTATCCTTGAACAATGTGGGGCCTCATGGTCTTCTTGATCCATGATACTTGACTGGAAAGTTTCTAAGTGTGCCTACTCTACGTGTGGCAACTATCTCTATCCTGCCATCTAAACCCAAACTGCATCATCAGCTATACCAGTTGCCATTCCAATCAATCTGGTCATTAAGAATAAATGGGCAAAAAGGAAAGCAACATCTATAAACCAATGGGGGAGGGGAAAAATCAACTCTAAAAATCAAAATACATGTTGACTAGGTAAAGACTAGAAATCCAAATCGCAGTGTGATTGCATTTATTATTTTATTTATAATGTAAAATATGAAACACCATTTGGAAATAAATTCTAGATTTACTAAATTCATAAGGAAATCTCTGCTGTGGCCAGGGAGTGCAGTGGAGGATGGCCCAAGTACTTGGACCCTGCACCCCATGGGAGACCAGGAGAAGCACCTGGCTCCTGCCATCAGATCAGCGCGGTGCGCCGGCCGCAGCGTGCCAGCCGCGGCGGCCATTGGAGGGTGAACCACCGGCAAAAGAAGACCTTTCTCTCTGTCTCTCTCTCTCACTGTCCACTCTGTCAAAAAAAAAAAAAGGAAATACATTCTAATAAACATGTTCATTTCTCCATTAACCTTAGAAAAGTATAGCCTGAAAGAACTTTCAATTGGCAGGGCATAAATCAAAATGCATTAAAGATTATCTTCAAAATTCTTATTCTCAAAACACTTAGTACATACATGTAGCTGTGGGTGGAAAAAAGTAATTTCTAAAGAAGTCTAAGAGAGACACAAGTAGAAAATACAGCTCCATTTATGACTCTAAGTAAACTAAATTATTTAAAAAAACAATGCCATTTCAGATTACCCAATCTCCTTCATGAAAATTACTGAAGAGTTAGCTCCTTCCTAAATCATTCTGTGAAGCCAAAATTTACTTTTATATCAAAACCAAAAACACTACAACACAAGAGAAAAACACAGATCAGCATACTTTATGAATATTGATGCAAAAAAAACAAAATACCAGCAAACCAAGTTCAATAACATATTCAAATAATTATATATCATGATGAAGTGGGACTTATCCCTAGAATGCAAGGATGTACAAACATAAAAAACAAACCATTAAGTAGTATGCTATACTAACAGAATGAAAAAAAAATGGAATCATCTTAATTGATATAGAAAAAGCATATGGCAAAGTTCAAGATTGTCTCATGATAAAAAAACTCAGTGAACTAGGAATAGAAGCAATCTACTTCAACATTACCAAGAATTGCTTGTAATCATAAATATGACCTGTTTAGATTACTAACATCACAAACAAGGCTCATGAAAAATTCCTATAAAGACTACTTACCTGCCAAAATTTTCTTGAATTGTCTAAACCACGTATCACAATAATCTTCACTTAAATTAATAAGATCAAGTGTAGAATTCTTTAATTTATTTTGTTCCTTTTTCAAGCAGATGAAAAGTGTAATACCTAATAAAGTACCACTTTTCTGTTGTCTGACAGAGAAACGCCGTTTCAGCTTCACAGAGAACACATCTTGGAGTTCAATAAATTCTTCCTTACATTGCAATGTGAACTTGGAATCACCTGAAAAAATTAAAATGTTCAATCAAAACCACTGTAACCATATCTTAAATGTATGAGAAAGAGTTAAAACCCAGAAAAATCTTTATTATTTGTAATTTCATGAATTTCCCTTTAAGTCAGTTCCTGGGTGGGATGAGATGGAAAGAGAATAGGGTCTATTTTTCCAAAAATGAGGGGAAAAATGCAGAATAAGTAGATGAAAGTCTAGCACACCATGCCCAGGACATTCATAATCTGACGATACACAAAGTTTAAAGAATTCCAGGAATATAAACAAAGGAAAATTTCAGTAGTAAAACTTATCAAGCAAGGGGTTCTTTGGTCTTAATATGGACAATGTAAAGTAATGGGAAAAAAAAAAAAACCAGAATTCCTTGACAGAATTGATTTTAGAACAGTTTGTAAAAGACAATTCTGATGGAAATGTACATCCTCAATACAGAAACATGAAAAACTGGAAACTGAAGTTTAAAACATTCCTTATATTAATTTTACTTCTATTAATCTAGAAATATCCCCTCCAATCTTACTATAATCAGACTATTTTTATAATGACATGAAATTTTATCAGTTATTTAACTACAAGTCAGAAAATGGTTGTTGTCCCATTTCAACTGGCTCTTCAAGTGTTTAGTTAGATGGGGGTATATGGCCTGATAGTTAAGATATTGGTTAGGACATCCACATCATGTGTCCGAGCTTCAGCTTCAGCTCCCAGTACCAGCTTCTTGCCAGTGCAGGTATTAGGCATCAGTTTGATGCCTGATCAGTGATGCCTACAGCACCAGGCATCACGTCATGGCTGAAGTGGCTTTATCCGTCACCAATGTGGATTCCTATTCAGTTCATGACTCCTGGCTTCAGCCTGGCCCAGCTCCAGCCATTGTGGGCATTTGAGGAGTGAACTAGCAAATGAGAGATCTGTCAGTCTGTCTCTGTCTTGGACTTTCTGCTCCTCAAACAATATTAAAAAAAAAAAAAATTCCAACATCTCTGCTTTTAGCCAACATAGAATAATGAAGACTAGTTTTGTCTTTTACCTGAAACCATGACAAGAACACACAAGATTCATGAAACTGCAGGTTTCAGACATTGGAAATCAGGTAGCAGAGGACAGTGATCCACAAGAGAGGGGTAACAAAGTGAACCATGTGATTGCCTCAACTTCTGCCAACAAAGTCTTCCATACAGAGATACTGCTGGGGACCTGCTTCATATAGCTGGATGTGTGGAGGTTAGCTACATCATTTGCTCACTGCAGAGAATGTATAGTTTTGATTTTAGCCATAGAATATTCTAAAAATTGGACAATTAGTAAAACTGAATATATTTTAATTTATGTTTTCTTTTGTATTTCTTAGGAAATACCTCTATACAAGCTTTTTTATATTTCTGTTAGGTCACATCTATTTTTTACTAAATTGTAGGACTCCTACAAACAACTAGAAAATGGCTCTTTATTATACATATATTACAAATAACTTCTAGGATAATCATGCAATATTTGTTGTCTCCTTATGTCACATAAATTGTTTCTTTTAATGTCAAATCAGACATAAGAATATGAGGAAAGGAAGGAAGCAGAAAAAGGATGGGGTGGGGGAGGGAAAGGAAGAGCTGAGAGAGAAGGGGAGAGAAGAAAAATTAATCAGCCACTGAGAGAAAGTAAAAGGTAGAAGAGATGAAATAAATTTTCATTCTAAGTCCTGAGTTAGAGACAATCTTTTCAAGATTTATTCTATTTATTTGAAAGGCAGAGTTACACAGAGAGGGGGAGACAGATAAAGGGAGAGAAAGATAAAGCTCCTCAATCCACTGGTTCACTCCTCAAATAGCCACAGTGTTTGGGGTTGGGCCAGGCCAAAGCCAGGAGCCTGAACTCCTTCCAGGCCTCCCATGTGAGTGACAGGTGCCGAAATAACGATTACTAGGACCACCTTCTGATGCTTTCCCAGTCACAGTAGCATAATACATGGAAACACAAGAGATCCTGAATACCTAAACCAATTTTAAACAATAAAGCAAAGCTGAAGGCATCAAAATACCAGAATTTTATATAGGGAAGTTATAATCAAACAGCCTGGTACTGGCACAAAGAAGACATGAAGGCCAATGGAACAGAACAGAAACCCAAAAAATTAATCCATGCACCTAAAACCAACTAATCTTTGACAAAGGAGTTAAAATCAACCCCTCAAGAAAGGACAATCTCTTCAACAAATGATGCTGGGAACACTGGATCTCCACATGCAGAAGTATGAAACAAGACCCCTACCTTATACCTTATACAAAAATTAACTCAAAATAGATCAAGTATGTAGATCTAGGACCTGATACTACCAAATTGCTACAGGAGAACATTGGGGGAAACCCTGCAAGATATTGGACCTGGCAGAGACTTCTTGGAAAAGACCCCCAAAAGAACAGGCCAAAACTGACAAATGGTAACACATCAAGCTATGCTGCTTCTGTACTGCAAAGGAAACACTCAAAGTGAAAAGGCGACAGAATGGGAGAAATTATTTACAAACTATGAAACTGATGAAGAATTAATACCCAGCATCCATAAAGAGCTCTAGAAACTCGACAATAAAATAAACAATACAGTTAAGAAATGCATTAAAGATTTGAACAGGCAGTTTCAAAAAAGGAAATCCAAATGGCCAACAGACACATGAAAAAATGCTCAGGACCACTAGCCATCAGGGAATGCAAATCAAAACCACAATGAGGTTTCACCTCACCCCAGTCAGAATGGTCTCCTACAGAAATCAACAAACAATAAATGCTAACAAGAATGTGGAGGAAGAGGTACCTTACATCCACTGTTGGTGGGAATGTAAACTGGTGTAGCTAATGTGTGGTGTAGCACACAGTATGGAGATACCTCAGAAATCTGAAAATGGATCTACCGTGTGATCCAGCAATCCTACTCCTTGCAGTTTTCCCAAAGGAAATTAAATCATATTAAAATGTTGTCTGTACCCCCACGTTTACTGCAGCTCGATTCACAATAGCAAAGATATGGAATCAACACAGATATCCGTCAACTAGTGGCTAAAGAAAATGTGGTATATATATATATATATATATATATATATATATATACACACACACACTATGGAATACCACTCAGACAAAAAAATTGTCTTTTACAACAAAATGGATGCAACTGGAAACAGTTATACTAAGTGAAATAAGCCAACCCCAAAAATATGAATACTATGTTTTCCCTGAACTATGGTAACACAGAGCAGAAAAATGTAATGCATATAAGGGAAATTGACATTGAGATGTGAAGATGTCATTGTTTTTAGCTCTTCTCTCTACTGTAGAGGAAGAGTGTTTTTATTTTTTCTTGATTTTTACTTAGTGGAAGGTTAAATTTATGATTATAGAATAAACTGAAAGTAAGTCATTATAAAAATTAAAAGAGTAAGGAAGAAGGAGGGAGTGTGGGAGTGTGGGCGGGAGGGAGGGCATACTGGGAAGTATAACTATGCTCCTAAATATGTGTATAAAATACATGAAATTTGTTCACCTTTATATAAATTTTAAAAATTGAAAAAAAAAAAAAAAAGCCTGGACTCAAAGCAGTGCTCTGATATAGGATGCTGGCATTCCAAAACTGTACAATAACGTTTCCCCTATATTCTGAATTTTTTTAAAGTTGCCATATAATTGTACATATATATGGGATACAGTGTGATATTTCAATGTATGTGTAAAATGAATAATTATCATAGTATTAGTGTATGAATCATCTCAAACATTCAAACTCCTATATCGAAATATACAACAGATTGTGGTTAACTATAATCACTCTACTGTCCAGAACATAAGAATTTATTCTTCCTATCTTACTGATTTATTATGTGTGTGATTTTAATAGACAATTCAAATCTTGTACACTGCAAATTTAAAGATGCTAAACCAACAACCAATCTCACACTTGTTGAAAACCCAAAAAATTTCCAGCAATAGGGCAAGAATATCTATTAGAATCATTACTCTCCCAATTATTCTAGACATTCTAGCTAACACCATATATAAGGAAAATCAAATAAAAGTAAGTGGTGGAAGTAGGGGAATGGGGGAGAGTTGAAGTTATTTATAATGATATAATAATTATTTGTAAAATCCAAAAGAATCAATTTAAAATCATTAGACCTATTATAATAACCAGTTGATCAGCTAATTACAAATATCCATATACCTAACCAGGAAACATGAGGATAAAAATATTCAAATATCATGAATGTATTATACCTAGGATTTTTTAAATTTTTATTTATTAAATAAAAATTTCCAAAGTACAAATTTTGTATTATAGCGGCTTTTTCCCCCAATAACCTCCCTCCCACCAGCAACCATCCCATCTCCCACTCCCTCTCCCATTCATCATCAAGATTCATTTTCAATTATCTTTATATACAGAAGATCTACTTAGTATTTACTAAGTAAAGATTTCAACAGTTTACACCCAGACACACAAAGTATAAAGTACTGTTTGAGTAGTAGTTTTACCGTTAATTCACATAGTACAACACATTAAGGACAGATCCTACATGGGGAGCAAGTGCACAGTGACTCCTGTTGTTGATTTAACAATTGACACTCTTATTTATGGTGTCAATGATTACCCGAGGCTCTTGTCATGAGCTGCCAAGGTTATGCAAGCCTCTTGAGTTTGGCAACTCCAATCTTATTTAGGCAAGGCCACAGTCAAAGTGGAAGTTCTCTCCTCCCGTCACAGAAAGGTACCTCCTTCTTTGATGGCCTGTTCTTTCCACTGGGATCTCACTCCCAGAGATCTTTCATTTAGGTTTTCTGTGTGTGTGGTTTGTTTTGTTTTGTTTTGTTTTGGCCACAGTGTCTTGGCTTTCCATGCCTGAGAAACCCTGATGGGTGTTTTAGCCAGATCTGAATGCCTTAAGGGCTGATTCTGAGGCCAGAATGCTGTTTAGGACATCTGCTATTAAGTCTGCTGTATATCCCAC